TAGCTCTTTTAATATCTCTTATGACTTTTCCCAAATTACGTGCCGCTATCAACTACAAATTTTTCTTCTTTTTTCTTTTGACAGCTTTTTTTTGAAGGTCTAATCTTCTTGTTTGGGATGTTTTGCTTTGCTGATTTAATAATAGCCCCTTCAATTGTTTCCCATATTTGATTGACTCTATCCAATATATCTGGTAAGGAGGCCGTACCTATGTCTATGTAATGTTCTTTTGGAAAGGATAGAACTTTGCTATCTATGAGCTTCCACAACGTTGCTCTATAGCTTTGCCAATCCTCTTCTTTTGTCTGATCAAGTAACCACTTTGTTTGCACTGTTGAGTATGCATTATTTGACGCATTCTCCTCTGGGCTTTTATATGACTTTATTTTGATATTAACAAAAGCTGCCTTATGGTCGCTACCTGTAATTGTTTGCATCTCAATAATGTTTGCCGCCTCTACATGATGCGCTAAACAATCTGATACCCAGATCTGATCTATTCTTGTTGCTGTTGTAGAATTACTTCATGTAAATCCTTTACTTTCTGGGTTGCAAAATCTGAATAAGTCCTTGTACTCTCTCGAAATTAGCTACCGATGCAAGGGTAGACTTTTTTGTGTTGATGATGTTTTTGCCCAGTCTAACTGTGAATCTACTACGTGATTGAAGTCACCTATTAAGATTACAGAGTTTGTTTTTTTATAAAATGCAATCTTGTCACATATCTTAGCCTCAATTTCTTTTATCACCTCGCCATCACTTGGTGGGAGGTACATTACCATAAGCAAGAGTGTGATGTTGTTTGGTAAATAAAAGTTTACAACTAATAAAAACTCGTTTATCTTTTCTATTTTCCTTATATATTTCTCTAATCTATTGCTAACAAGTAAACCTACACCTGAACCCTTAAGCTTATTCACATCTGCACAAGCCCAAATTCCTCGATATTCATCTCTATCTTTCATCAAAAAATTTCCTGCATGCTCCTGTATATTCGTCTCTGTCAACCCAATTAAATCGAACTCTTCTTGTGCAGCCCATACTGAAACCAAATCTAATCGATAACTACGTAACATTAACCCATTAATATTATGTACAGCTATTCTTAAAACCCTACCATTTTCTTCACCTATATTTCCCCTCATCATTATATGGGTCCAGAAGCACCCACCTCCTTTCTCCTGGACCCCTTTTTCCACAAAAATGCTGTAGCAACTTCTAGGAGTAATTCTGAGCCCCTAGGCTACTCTGCCTAAGCTCTATCGCATTAAGTCTTTGAAGAATTTGCTCAAGAATTGTGTTTTGGATGTTTTCTTTTTGCTCTAGCCTGTGTACTCCTGACTCCAAATGTGTTTCTGTTGTTGCTACTTTTCTTGTCGTAAAGTTTTCCTCATAATGACCTGGGGTTTTCTTGAAGTCGCCAAGAACATTACCATTACTTTTATTACTTTCAGATAGCGGTATATTTTTTCTGCTTAGACGAGATACAAAAGCTATATTTCAAGACGCAGCTATCTTGTTAGCTTTCATCTTCTTTCTCTTGTCTGCCAAAACCTCTGTCTTGTCACTTTCTCTTTTGCGATTACGGTTTTTTGTATTGTTATTATATTTGATCTGTGTTCTTTTGCCTTTGTTACTTATATGTAAACCATGTTTGCTTTGTCCTGGTTGAAACACTTCTTCTTCATCTACCTCGTACTGAAAGCTTGTAGGCGATTTCCACTTCAGTTTGGTGCTATAATAGTAGAGAACTGATTTTTGTGCTTAAAATATACATGTGCCCTTCTACACTGGTTACCATTTTGATTGTTCAATATGTGCACAGCCTGCACCTTGAATCTTTTTAACTGCCTGAGAAGTAAACTGTCGAAAGCAGATGTTGGTACATTGTATATCGTGCTTTTGAATCTGTTCTGATCTTCTAATTCTTTAATATTAAATTTCCCAGGTGTTGTTTGGTAAGTTTTACCCTGATCTAAATGTATTGACCAGTTTTCTTTCAAAGAGTTTTCTCTCTTCTCTATACTCGATGTGATCTTGATAAAAGCTGCTTTGGTAGTAAAGTTGTGTTGCCATGCCAGTATTGTTACTACCCCAAAGTATTTGAGAAACTTCTTAATTCTCTCTCTACTCATATCCCTTGGAAGGTCCCACAGGGTGAAAATGTAAAGTGATTCATGTGTATATTTTTTGGATATATAATTATTTCTTGGGGCCCAAACTGAGTTATAAATGTTCTCTTGTTTCTTGAGCCTTTTCTGGTTATTTTCCGACTTTGTGGACCCTGATTTACTCTTGGTTAAAATCTCTTCAAGGCCATAGTTTAAAGTACCAACCTTATTCTAAATAAGCGTCTCTACTTTTGTCTTTTGATCAAGCTCTACTGAGTTGCTACTATTTTCCTGTTCTAATAGGCTCCTTTTACAAGGAATACCATTAATATTGCAAGTTGTGTTACTATAATCTTTGGATATAGACACAGGTTTTGTATAAGTAATTTCCATGTCTGTGGAACTAAACTCAAGTTTATTGTCCTTTTTCTGAGCTAATTCTATACTATTATTTTGCTCTAGTAGGACTTTCTCCTCATCGGATAATGTATCTTGTTTAAACTCCTTGCTTAGGGCCTATTTGTATCTTTTGACAATCTCACGTAAAATTGCTATGAAATGTACATCTTTAGTACCTAAAAACTCAGCGATATGATTGTCCTCTTTACCTAAAGTTGAGTTTTGCTCTTTGTATAACACTAGCTTCTCTTCTTCAGATTGGTTAAAGAAGTTTCTATACTTCCGAAGTGCTGGCATTTCTTTTATTACGTGACTTTGAATACTGGAATACTATTTAATATAACTCTTTGACTATAATCTAAACTTTCGTTACGGCATGTGTTTTACGTGTTTTTACATATTTTTTATATGTTTTTACATGAAATGTGGGTTGTTGATTTTGTATATCTCTGTGTGGCTTTGTGCGATAATCTTGTGTTGCACCAAAGATCTACACTACAAAGTCAACGCTATTTTCCCTAAAATTAAAGAATTGAGCAATAGTTCTAAAAAACCAGAGTACCTTTGTGGTTTAGTACTTCTGTGATGAAGAAATAGTGTGTCTAATAATCTATCTAAGCTTTCTTATTCTGCAGAACTGACTTCTATTGTTTTATAATCCCCTGTTTGGTTTTGTTACGTTTTACTTTGGAAATCGCTCTAACTGTGTTTTTTGGAGTTTTGCCTTTTCTCACTTGCAAGTTAACTAATTATTGTGAAACTACCTTGTGCCTATGTCTTTCTTGTTGTCTGGTAGTATTTGATACTGTTGTGTTGTCTTGTAAAAAAGAAAACTATCGCCTTTTCTTCTTGCTACTTTTTGTGCCAAGTGATTGTCCAAAAATTTTATGATTTTCAAATATTATTGTATAAAATTTTTTTTAAATATATTAAATTTTTGTTAAATATATATATATAATTTACAAGAAAGTATAATTTTAACTAAAGTTATTTAAAGTCACTTAATTTACAAATATTAGCTAATTTGGCTCTTTGCAATACTGATTACTCATATTCAATCTGCTATAGTAAAGCTTATCTTTATATTAAAATAATTTACAAATAGATAATTTAATATATCATTGAATAGTATTTATAATCTATTAAAATTGTTTTTTTTTTAATCATCTTCTTCTAGCTTCTCAAGTAAAAATGTTTATAGTCTCTAACTAGAGATAGACATACTGTATATAGGTTCTGTATATATGTAATTATATATATAGAAACCCTACAGCAAAAGGGTGCAATAAAGAAAAAAAATTAATTTTATAATTTTATAAAAACTAAGTACTTATTACTCTAATTCTTCAAGAAATTAAGTTTAAAAAAAAATTTTTTTTTGCTTCATTGCATCATTTTGCTATAAGGGCCTCCATATAATATACAAAATTTTTTAAAACCTATATAAAATTTTTAATATAATCTTAAATAAAATTATTTGGCTAGTATTACTATATAAACTGACTAGTATTGATATAATATCTGGTCTGCATTAGTATATTTACTATAAATACTCAAAATAGCAGACATGAGCAGAGTTATTAGTTGTAACTTATTATAGTAAGTTACTATAATAAATTATAATAAATTGCTAATAAGTTTTTTTTTTTTTAATAACTATATACTAAATTTTATTTAACATTTAATACTTAATACAAGACTAAGCTATTTAATAGGAAAATTAGACTAAAACCTAGCTAACTCTTAAAGATGCCCAAGCTTAGTATAGTGGTATTTTAGATTACTCCTATATTTCATAGTACCAGGGTTTGACAAATATCACATATTATGATTATGTTACTGATCATAAAACATAATCAAATATAAACAATAGAATTAAATAAATAGAGGTTTGATCTTGCAAATCAAACTCATACTTCATTTTTTTAAGAAATAACCTATGTCCAGTAATAGTGACTTAGTGCTTTGAGTTAGTAAGGACGTGAGAAGTTATTATATTATAAAGAATAGTGTTTTTAAGAAACATAGCTGTGTACAAAGCGAGGGCAAGACTAAACATATCTTGAGCAGAATTGAGTATATAACTATATATATTCATTAACCTCACAACAAGAAAAACCTAGGCAAAGATAGTAGCTCTTACAGAAACAAACAGTAAAGATAGTAACAAGCTGTAAAGACAGCAACTGTTGTAAGCAGTATTGGCAATTGGACAACTGGACAATTAGATTAACCAATTATTTTAGATAATTAATTGGGCAATTGAACTAGAACAATTGGACCAACCAATGATATTCATTAGTCCAATTGTCCAATTGCCAATACTAGTTGTAAATAAGGCTATATATAAAGCTGAAATTAAAGTTAAAAATAGAAACAATATATTACAATTACAAATACATAGTTGATTAAATAATGTGAATATTAGGGATAAAGCAAGCTGATGAAGAAAGTATAAAGGAGTTTATTAAACATTATGACAGCTGTATAATGTTGTGGAATAGTAAACTTCCAGAAGAAGAAAAACAGATTTGGTATATCTTTGGTTTAAAAAAGCAATACCTTTATAAGGTTAAAGCTTTTTTATTTGAAACCTATAATCAAGCCAAACAATTGGTGTTAATAATGGAAGTACGAATAAAAGGTATAAAGAAAGAAGTAAAGAATATAGTTAATAATAGAGATATTAATGTAACAAGCAAATTAGAAAAGAATAAAATTGAAGACTTTCTAGTAATAAACAATAAAACAATGAATGACAATCCTAATAATGGTGTCAAAAATGATAAAAAAAAGGCATTTATTCATTACCAAGAACTAGCAGATATAAAAAGGTATAATAATAGTTAGAAAATATTAGATATTGTTATCAAAGTGGAATTGATATTGAAATCAATAAATCTGGTGAGGCAAAATCTTGCATGTTGATGTCGATATTGATAAAAAACATTTATACATTACCAAAAATCTGAGGAAATAAGAATTTTTAACAAAATCAACAACCTTGGATATTGTGATCAAGATAAAATTAGAGTTAGAATAAAAAAACCTATGAAGGTTGAATGTGGTGTAAAAGATGATAATAACAATAAAAACTTAAAAGTTGTTGATGGATTAGATCATTGTGATGAAGCCGAAGTTGATGAAGATAAAAGTATAGCTTTTAAATAGTATATAAAATCAACAGGGTTGGGTGACAATAATGGAAATGAAAATTGTGAACAAAAAATATTAATTAATTATCAAAAACCTGCTAAATTAAACAATGATGAAAAATCATATATTGTTGGATACTGTTATCAAAACGAAATAAGAGTTGAAACGAATAAATATGATATTTGTTTATTTTCAAAAATCTGCTAAAAGTGCCTATATGGTATTTGAATGGTATTTAAATATCATTGTTGATAGTTATCAATATCGAATTGGTAAAGCAATATATAAAAAGGTGTTTGTATAAAATTTGAAACCTTCTGAAGTGAAAAGTCCCAATGGACAAAATAATATTAGATGGTGTTATCAATATAGAATAGATATTGAAAGGTGGAATAGAAAAAGTAAATAGATTAAGAAAGATAATAAGAGCAAAAATCAAGATATATATCAAGATGTTGGTGGAAAACAATGCAGCAAGTAATAAAAGACCTAGCGGTAAAAATAAAATAATTGGTTTAAAGAAAAGATTAAAGAATATATGAAGTTCAAAGACATAAAATGATATGATGAAGATGATCGAATATGGTAATGTTGATATTGTGAAGTTACCTAATTCAGAGCAATGGATTAAAGCCAATGGTTGTAAAACATTGATTAAGAAGGTGTTTGTAGTATATAATTCTGGAAGTATATGTTGATGTAGTGTTGATTGTGATGCTAAAGTGGTAATAGAAGGGAATTTGAATATTAGTGTTATATATAATAAGTATATAATGGTTATAAGGATTAAATAGATATTGTGGTATAATGTTATAATGGAAACTAAACTTCATTGTAGAATTTTTATAAGTAATAATTTAGAAGATAGAAGTAGATAAATGATGAACTCTAGGTATAGAATATATGACTAGTATTGTGTTTTGAGAGTATGGAAAATAAATGTATTAATAGTAGTAACTTTGAGAACAAAGTACTAGGGAATTTAGCTTGTGTGATAGTATTTTAGATTATCCCTATATTTTGTAGTGCCAGGGTTCAACAAATGTTATACATTATGATCATGTTACTGATCGTAGAATGTGATTAGATGTAAACAATAGAATTAAATAAATAGAGATTCAATATTGCAAATCAAACTCATGCTTCATTTTCTTAAAAAATAATTTGTGCCTAGTAATAGTGACTTGAGTTAGTAAGAACATAAGAAGTTATTATATTATAGAGGGCAGTATTTGAGTAAGAAATGTAGCTGTCTACAAAGCAAGTACAAGACTAAACATACTCTGAGCAGAATTGAGTGTATATCTATATATATTCATTAACTTCACAACACTTAGTTATTATACTAATGTTAGCCACTATACCTTATATATAATGCAGCATATTTAAAAATATAGTCTAGCCTAGGCTCAGCTCCCATCCTATCATAACCTCTTTTTTTTTCAAATTTTTTCTTAAAAGTATGAGATAAAAAGAAGATAAGTTTAAATAAAGAAATTACAAAAATAACTAAAAAAGAAAACCAAAAACAAAGAAAAGAAAAAATAAATACTGATTTCAGAAAAAAAAAAATATAAAAAGAAATTCTAAAACCTTAAAGGCACTATTATAACCTGTATATAGCTAATAAAAATTATATATCAAATTCAACATTTGTATATCTCTCTTGTAAGTTTTGTCTTAATATTAAGTTCATTTTCTAACTTTCTAAACAACTCTGAATAACTTTGTTGCTGTCTTAATTCATATCTCGAGCTAGGTGCTGCTGTTATCTGAAGACCTGTATCCCAAGCTATCTACTGCTATAATTAGAGTTTCTATGCTAAGTTTTATGAAGCAGCATTATATTTGTTTGTAAACAAATATATAGTTGCATTCTACTAGTTTGTTCAAATTTGAGAAGTAAATAATACTAATTTTTTTGAGGTAATAAGCCAAATCTTCACTTTTTTGAAAAATTTTAGAAAAAAGGCAAGGAAGTAGAAAAAAGTATAGTAAGTATCACTTGGCCAAGAAAAAGGAGTGCAGTTTAAAAAAAACTTATTTTTTATTGTTCTTCAGTTGTTTTACAACTAATAGCTTTATTAATAAAAAGCTTGGACTTCTATTACCTCTACCTATCTACCAAAATTTTATATACAAAGGCATTACCTTCTGCTAGTTATCTTGTATACTGATACTTTTAGCTTGCATGTTAAATATATAAAGAAGTCTCTTGTTAAGCTGTAAAGTTAATTTTTATAAAAACTGCTCTGTTGATTTACTTCACTACAGGTTTACTACTCTCTAGTATAAAAAACCAAACTTTCTTTTTTATAAAAAATTTTGGTTTAAGTGATTGTTGAAAAGAGTTATAATTACTAATAAGTTCCTATAGCAAGTTAACAAATACTTATATAAAGATTACTTTTATTTGTAACTTATAGTAACTTACCAATAAATTAATATAATTTTACAACTCTGGGTATGGGTATTATATTAAATTTTGGCCTGTATTAAGCTTAATTTAGGTCAAAATTTGAAATAACACTTATGTTGCTATTTCAAAAATTTATAGTAAAATAATAAAATTAAATTTTGTATAGATTTTTATTAAACACAAAAAATTACAAAACCCACAGATTTATTATTCTATCTTATATAGGATGTGTGTAATCTGCATATAACATATAGAATTTTTGAAAAAATCATAATTTGCTTATCTCTATTTCCAACTGACTTATGCTAACACTAAATTGTAAAAGAGAAAAACAAAAAGAGTAAAAAGAAAAATCATCTAAGCAACAAGAAAACAAGTAATAAAAACAAATAAAAAAAAAATAACAGAAAAAAATTAATTTATTATAGCCTGTATCAGACACAGTTATAAAAATTATGTTCTAAATTTAAAAATTTTGTATATCTTTATTGTAAAGCTAAGCCTTATTTTTAATTTTTTTCTGAAAATACTATCTATAATTTTGGTTAATATATATAATTGAAGCACTAATTATTTATCACATAGTATAAAAGCAATATTGACAAAACAATTCTGTATTTATGTTCTACTTAGTCTATCTAAAAATAGAAAATATAAACAATGCTAATTTTTTTGTTAAGAGTAAACTATTTTGATCACTTTTTATAAAAATTTTGTAAGAGTAGTAAAGAGGCAAAGTTGAGAGAAAAATACTTGTACAAATTTAAAGAAGAATATTTTGATTTCTTTTTATAATATATACTCACAGCTTGTATCTACTCTGAGTAGTGCAAGTACTTAAACATATGGGGGTCAATAGAAAAGGGATAAAATTTTTCTAAGTAAAAGTTTTCTTGACTTTGAGCTTAAATATCTTGGCTAATCTTATCAAATTTAATAAATTTTTTTTATTTAAATTCTATATAAATTCAAGATTAAAATAAAATTTTTTATCAAATTTGATTAAATAGTTGTTGAGATATATTAATTTAAAAATTAAAAAAATTTCACTAAAAATGATTTGTCCCTTTTCTATTAACTCACCCCCATATTATAGTGAGTAATAAACTCTGAACTTGTTAGCAAATAGTATATAAGAACTATTTCTAAATGACAAGAGCCTTTATGTACTGTAGTGAGTGATAAACTCTGAACCTGTTAGCAGGAGCTGTTTTACAGTTTCCTATTTTATCTTTTTTTTAGTTTTTACTAAGTATTGTTGTATTTTAAATAAGAAATTTGTTTGGAAATTTTTGATACAAGTAATTGTTAAAAAGAGTTAAATTTTCTAAACTGTATTCTTTTATCTTTATATAACTTTTGATATTAAAAGGTTTTTAGTATTTTTCACACAAAAAAAATTGTCACATTTATATCAAAACAAACCTCTGAAATTTTAAGATCAAGTATAACAAAAATTGGTCAACACTTATTATGCTTTCCAGCATTAAAATTTTAACAAAAACTATATAGTTGACTTTAATATCTAAAATTATTAAAATCAGTTAATTATATCATGAAATATTATTTCTTTACTTCATAATTATATACCGTATAGTTCCGAAAATAAGCACACTTGGCCCGCACTATGCCAATTTTGGGCCGCATTATAATAATCTCGGCCAGCATTACAAGCAAAAAGGGGTGCTTATTTTCGGAACTATACGGTAGTTTAACTTATTGTCAAAATCTCTTGACGTCTCAACGTTATTTGAAAACTATAGTAATACTTTTCTGTTTTTTTACGTGATTTGCCTCAAATTAATTGATGTAGAATAAAGTTTAAGATAATACCAATACAATATTGAAGTAAAAACAATTTTATTAAAATGCTTTATAGGTATTATACACTATAACTTCATTAAATCTCAGAAACGGTATAACAGATAAGCAATTAAAAAGATATCCAGCGTATCAAAACCTTTTCTTAATCCTAATCCTAACCCCTAACTTCTAACCCAACTCTAAATTTTTCCTGAAAAATTTTATTAATGTAATAGAAATATATTACGTGTTGAAAAATAATAGGTATATTTTATAATTTTTGAAAAAATGTTTTAAAATAAACAAGTTTTTCTATATGCATACCAAAAGATTCTAATTCATTTTTATATATTACATCTAATGTCATTATTATTAACTGAAAAAACTTCATTCGTTATAGCGACTAGGTAAACTAGTTAATATAATTAATAAATTTACTATTATAAATAATATAACTATTAATATTAAAATTATCTTCTATTACTATATTTTCATCAGACTTCAAAAATTCAGATAAAACTTCTGTATCGTTTTTCCAGTTTATAATAGTTTCATAAATTTCTGATGCTGATGGTCGTTTTTCTGGGTCTTTAGCCCAACATCTTTTTAAAAGATCTGCATAAGAAGGTGCCGTACCTTTAAGAATAGTTGGTCTCAATCCATCACAAATTTCTATAGCTAATCTTGAGTTATCATATTCGTATTCAGAAAATATGACTCTTCCCGAAGAAATTTCCCACATAATCATTCCAAAAGAATATATGTCTGACGCTTTAGTAAATGAACTTCCACG